AGATGTGTATAAGAGACAACATATATAAATAAAAATCCAAGATGACATTAAAAACAGTAAGAACTACAAATATGAACTTACATAATGAGCCAATCAGAAGATGTGGACGTAATTGTCAAGATATTCATGGGCAAGTGATTTAAAATGATTAATTGAAAATAATAATAAGCATCTGACATTGTCCGGGAGAGAATTAAAGAGCCTACTAAAATGAATAAAAGGGGAGTATTTAAAAGATAGAATGTCTAGAGTTAACTTGGACGTCAGGTAACTTAATATTATTAAATCCAAATAAACAATTAACGATAAAGCTCAGATGAATATAAAGGAAACGAGCATTCAATGGTGAGATGTGGAGATGCTTGAGTCTATCAGAGTAAGAAGGACGCGAGTACCAAGGACCACCGCAATACGCTCTCGAAAATCTGTGCTGAACCCTTTCAATAAATTTTATATGACCTACCTGATATGGCAACCAAGCTGGTATGCCATATTCAAGTAAAGGGTGGCACATTGCTAAGTACAGACTATGTATGCCTCCTTACCCTGCGTCCTCCCAACTAATCTGGCGATAAACCCAAGCATCTTTGCAGCACAAGAAGTTGCATAATAAACTTGTTTACCCCAACTTAAATTGCAAGTCAAAAAAATACCAAGATGTTTATGGAAAGGAACTGAATCAAGAATGTAGTAATTTGTAGCAATATTTTTATTTGATCTAGTGATGTGCATGACTTTACATTTGTTAGAGTTTAATTGCTTATAGTTATTAGTGCACCAAGTTGAAATATTATTTAAATCAGATTGAAGGATGAGAGTCTTCTGCATTGCAGATGGGACGAAAAAGAACAGTATCATCAGCATACTGGGGCAGAGATGAAAGAACGCATGGAGGTAGATCGGCAACAAAAAGATTAAAGAGAATAAGCCCGAGGACAGATCCTTGAGGGACTCCAGATAATACAGGCATCCACTCAGAGTGGGTGCCCATAAACTAGACTTTCTGTGATCTGCCTAGCAGCAGTGAGGTTAACCAGGAGAGAACCTGTTCCTGAATGCCAACACGATTCAGTTTAAAAAGCAATAACTTATGGTTTACTCAGTCAAATGCCTTTGCCCAATCAAGAAAAATTGCATCGATACGAGGAGGATTTGGAATGTCAAGAATTTTTGTCCAGTCATGTACAAAGTTGTGTGGTACAGGATCTGCCTCTAGTAAATTCATGCTGTTCGTTGGATGTTAAACAATTGGATTCAAGGAAGGAAGTGAGATGTGAACTAACTATCTTTTCACTTAACTTGCAGAAAATAGGAGTCAGGGATATGGGACGGTAATTAGTGATGTTATTAAGTTCTCCTCCTTTGTGAATTGGGACCACAACAGCTTTCTTCCAATCATTTGGAATTTTACCTGTGGTTAAAGACATGTTAAACATTTTTGTAACTATAAATAAAATATATGGTGAGGAGAGTTTAATCATGTTAGGAGTTATGGAGGCAGGACCAGGGGATTTGCAAGAAGGAATAGAAGGAAGGAGTTTAGACTTCACGTTCTGTTGTGCGAATATCAGCCAGCTTATTGATATGTGCATCAAATGTAGGAATAGGAAAATCAGTATTTTGGATATGGTAAACACATGATCAATGACCTCCTCAAAATAGTAAAAGAAAGATATATTAGAGGAAGGGGGCGTGTAAATACATCCCAAAAGTACCTTTCCACATTTCATTGTCACCTCTGTAAAAACTATTTCGATGATTGAATTTATATTAATATCAGTAACACAAGGCTTGAGATAATGTTTACAAGCAATTAAAACCAATAATTCAGAGTTATGGATTGAAGAATCCAGCCACGTTTCAGAGATGAAGACAATGTCTGGATTAATATCAGCAGTGAGCGTCTTCAGATCACAGAAGTTCATAATGATGCTTCTGGCATTAACTATAATTCCATTTATAGCATTTCCGTGATGACTGTCAAGTGTAACATCAGCGTCCATCTGGGAGTTGAAACTGGTTGAAGAAAATCGGGATGAATTAAAAAAAGAATCACTGAAATTTGGTAGGGTGCAGGTTTGACATGTCCATACATTTAATGTGTTGACATTGGTAAGCATTCAGAGGCCAACACATACCCTATGGAACGACAATTTGCATTCAAAGCAAGAGATACTAGCTTTTCTTTTGCCGATTTGTTGCAAATGCTACATTTTTCTTTGTCAGGACCAGGGTTAGTTTCAACATCACCATCTTGAAAACAAAACAAATCAATTGGAAAAGAGGTATTGTCCTGTGTTGAATAGCTCCATGAAGCGTAAAAGCCATGGTTGCAGCCTAGAAATATAGAGTTAAGTACAGCTTCTTTGGTATGAGTTCTAGCAAGATTATCAGCTTGTAGACAGTTCAGATTGGTTGTACAGTAAACATCAAATTCAAAATTTAAAAAAAAACGACCGAAAACACATATTACCGGAAAACGTTTAAGATAGTAACAAATGCTGCTTCCATCTGCCATCTTGGAAAAAATAAAAAATATAAAAAAGGACTCAGTCCTCGGACCTATTCTTTTATAATGTTTTTTCTACAGAATATTCAATGCTAATGATACTATCATTTACAGGACTATCAGGTCCTGGGAGGATGAAATTGTTACGCAAAGTGACCTAAATATTGTTAATGAGTGAAGTTTGAATAATATATTGCCACCGAGAAATAGAATACTCATTCGCTTAGCTAGATCTACTAATCATAAATTGAATGCCTTAAGCTATTATATTGGTAATGACGCTATCTCTAATGTTGAACAGGTGCGATATCTTGGTATTAAATTTACTTCTGATTTAAAGTGGAATGTTCCATCGATAATGTTTCTAACAAGGCTTTCCAAATTCTAAGGTTTGTCAGAAGGGTTGTTCAAACATTGTTTTAATCCTCAAACTGTATAATTCTATTGTCCGTCCAGTTTTAAATAAGGCCTTCCTGCTTTGCTGCCATATACCAAGGTAATCTCTTGAAACTTGAAGAACTTCAACAAAGTATTTTGACAGCATGTTTCCTATTATCAAACAACATACAAATATAGAAACATTTTTTAATCAAGGAAATAAATCTTACCCAAACAACCATTATTCCATCTCAATTCTTTTTTTTTTTTAATTCTTGAAAAATTATTTATGATTGTACACATGATTTTATCAATAAACATAATATACTTTATTGTAAACAATTTTGTTTCCGTAAAAAGTATTCTACATTTTCTGAGCACTACTCTCAGAATAAAGAAAAATGAGGGCACTACACGGGAATGAATCCATAGAAAGATTGGGTGGTGGGTCACGAAACACTTAGCTTGATAAGTGCCTGAAAATTATGGACTCCTATAGTATGAGGCCTCAAGACTCACACCTTCGAGGTTTAGGTTTTTTTTAAATTTTATTTTATTACTAATTGCTAGAGCACCTAAGTGGATGGGAAATGGGAACTCCCATAATATTAAAGCTTTTGATGAGTTCATGTCATTGCACACAACTAGTTAATTACTAAGACTGCTATACCATATTGGACTCCTCCTCAACAACTCAACTTCTCATAATTAAATGGGCCTTGCATATTCATTGGGAGCATCCCCCGCTGAACAAACAGCTTTTTCATTTTATATTCATTCCAGTCCTCCCATTTTGCATAGATTCTCTGATTTTACTTCATCTGTATTCATATTGTGTTTTGGTAAATATTAGTGTTTCATTCAACAACTTTTTTTGCAGGCAAAACATTGCATTTTTCTTTCCCTTTTACAAATAATTGCCTGTGTGCAATACGATAACTTACGATGGTAGAAGTACTGCCGATAAATTTTCTGTTCAACACAAACACTACTGTATATGTAATTAAGTATACTGTAGGCTCTGCCTATGATGAAGATACAAACTGTCGTGTTGTTTTTGTATGTTATTACTAAGTATTTTAACTGATATAGATCTTTGCTAACCCAGAGAGGTAAAAGAGAGTATCCTTTGCCTAAGTGTACTTGTTAAAATAAATAATATTATATATTTAATCATTTTGTTGTATTTTGAAAATTCAGGCCTTTCACACAAACTCATCACACTGACAAAGGCTGCATGAGCATTGCAGCTGTCAGCATGAACATGTTCTTCCTCGAAGGGTTATTCTCCACTTCTTATATTGATGTGTCACACCTTTTAACGTTCAGGGTTGGAGTACTTGCAATTTCAAACGCTGATACAGAAAGTGTTTTTTTAAGCTAATGTTGAACTTTGGGCTGAGGTGGGCGTGGCGGTGTGGACTTCATAATGTGGCCCCGTCCCCCGGTCAGAAAATCTCTAGATCCGCCCCGTAAATGCTCACTGGAAATGTGATATTGATTGTAGGCTTTGTTTAAATTTAACATTCTTTAATAGTGAATTTCTTTTATTGTTAGGTATGGATGAAAGCCAGCCATCAATTTTACAAAAATTGACAAGTCAAGGTACTATAAAAAATGCAAGTCTCATAGAAGACATATGCAACTCACTAAGGATGTTAAGTTGTTGCATGATCCACCATGAAATGATAATCTTGGATGAGCAGATCATTCAACTTATGAGTGAAGAAATAAATTGGATAAACAAAGAGCATTTAATAATGGAATTTAAAATGCTGTCACCTGAAGACATCGGCAAAATATTTGCTCATGTTTTAATTGCTGTAGAAGATGAACAGGATATTTTACAGAAAATCCAGGAGTTATGTACTGATGATATAGTCTATAGTTTATCAGCTGAATGTAAGAAATTAAACTTCAGATACAGTATTACAGGATACTACTATGATTTTAACTCTATCACAGTATCATTTCTAATTCATCTGCTGAGTAATGCACCAAGACTTTGTACTCTTGATTTATCATATTGTGAGATGAAAGGTGTTACTGTGAAGAAGATTGTTGATACATTGCAAGAGGAAGGAGTTGTGTTGGAATTAAGAGATCTTGACATCAGTGGAAATAACCTCGGTGACATTGAAGGTTCCTCACTTGCCTCTTTGCTGGCCGTAGCTTCTAAGCTGAATCATCTTGACATTAGTAAATGCAGTCTGTCAGGTGTTATTATGGATGATATGGTTATGGAGTGTTCTAGTACTAGAGTTGTGTTGGAATTAACACATCTTGATATTAGTGGAAATAACCTCAATGATATCAAAGGTCCCTCACTTGCCACTTTACTTGCTGTATCTCCAAAGCTGAAGTATCTTTACATGAGTTGTTGCAGTCTGTCAGGTGCTATTATGACTGATGTGGTTAAAGAGTGTTCTAGTAGGGGAGTTGTGTTGGAATTAACATGGCTTAATATCTGTAGAAATAACCTCAAAGACATCAAAGGTTCCTCATGTTCCACTTTGCTTGTTCTAGCTCCTAAACTGAAATATCTTAACATGAGTAATTGCAGTCTGTCGGGTATGGATGATATGCTTAAAGAGTGTTCTAGTAGGGGAATTGAACTTTTCATCAGTTGATATAACCTCAGTGACCTCATAAAATGTACTTCACTTGCTACTTTGCTTGCTCTTATGAATAACTGTAGTCTACTATGATGATAATAATTATAAGTTAATTTATGAAATGCTCTACTTTGGAAAATTAACCCCAGTGCACATACAATCTATCATAATAACCTCAAAGAAATCAAATGTTCGCTCTCAAAGACATCAAAGCTTCACTGGCCTACCCTCTAGTATGTGAACGTTGCGATTAATTATGATTTAAATAAGAACAATAAACACTAAAAGAAAATAAGTTGCATGGTTTTGAAAGCAGTTTCACATAAGAATATTTAAAAATCACTAAAATAAGATGAAACAGTAATAGTTAATTATTAATTAGAAATATCTTGTATTCTCTCCATTATTTTCCCAGGAAAACGTTTTATATCAAACTAAAATTGAAATTAACATGACTTACAATATAGGTAGGTCTACCATAACATATTTTGGTCAGGGGCAGCTATTAAAGCAAAGTTTTATTGTAACTCATTCAGAACCCGAAAACCGACTGTCCTTGACAAAAATCCACTGTGTGTGTCAACCGACTGTGACTGTGCCTGAAACCTGAGGGTGCTTGAAAATCGACTGTGTTTAATCGACTGTGTTTGAAATTTGCCCTTTTGTCGTTCCATATAAAACAAAAGAAATAAACATTAAATGTTGCTCTTTTGGCATTCCATATATAAAACGCAAAAATGGAATGCAGAAATATGTAAACACCATTTTTACGTCTAGTAATTTTTTAAGTCTAGCAAAAGATATGTGGCAGTGAAAAACATCTGTAAAATTCATATTTTCCCCCACAATAAATCTGAAATATGAATTGATATCACTTCGCACGATCAGGACTTTAATGATCTACGTTGTTACAGCCTTTCATACCAGTAGGTTGCGAATCTGAGACCTTTATTTAGGCTAGGCCCTCGGTTGTCTGTTATGATTTCAGGCTTTGAAATAGCATAGTCATTATAATATATAAAATTGTCAAAAAATTGTATCAACTTTAATAGTTTGTACTATTTTCATATAAAGTACAGTACTGGCTATGCTGATACCATATTTAACATATTTTCTTCCTTCTTATACACTTAAAATGTTAGCAAATGTTTATTTTTTCCTATTTTCGATTTCGATGTTGTGTCTGGTCTAATATTAATGTTCAAAATTGTAACTGTTTACAAGTTCTTGTGAATAGATTAGGTAAGATTTTACTTTCTGTTGATATTAACACTCCTGTTGATTATATTTTAAGTGCCCTAAAAAGACTTGATTGGGATGAAAAATTACTTCTTATGATTTCAAATGCTTAAAAGGATATGCTCCTCGATATTTGTCTTCAAAATTTACCTTTAACAATACTACCCATTCTAAAGGCACACGTAGCCAAATCCGGACAGGGAAGGAGAACTTTTTTATTTTGATCATCCAAAAGCTGGAATGCACTACCACACAAATTGAAAAATAATTTTTAAGAGATGTCAACTTTTTTATTCAAAAATAATTTTAAATAATGTTTTCAAATTTTATTTTATTTTATTCATTGTTTATTACTACTGTATATATGTTTCTCGTCATTGTACCACTTTAAAAATCAGTACTATAGTACTGTACTGTACATTCCTAAAGTATGAAGAAACTTGATAAATAAATAATGTCAACTGAAAGTTTCAAGTTTTAAACAATTTTTATAAAATATGTATAATGTTACGCAGTCACGCACAAACTTTTGCAAGGGTGTCTGTTCGGTCTTTCAGGTTAAAATTAAGTGGCAATGCAACTGGCTTTATAGTTGATCCCTTCTGTTGCATTACTGGGAGCTTTCTTGTAACTCTTGGTGGTATTATCCTTAAGTAGCTTGTTGTATTGTGCTTTATTGACTTTATAACCCTAAAAGAAAAACAAAGAAAACTTCAAAAATGATACTTTGTGCAGACTGATCAACCCATCAAAACCAGAAATTTGTATAGTCAGCAAAGACATACTCGACCAGATCAAAAGGTGGTTACACAGGATAGGAGTCAACCTGGTGAAAAAATACAAATAACATCATACACTGGTATAAAGGAATAGCAGATAAGAAAAATTGCTCCTTCATCATATTTGATAGTGTGGAATTCTACCACTCTATTTCTGAAGACGTTCTCACCAGAGCCTTAGTAGACTTCTACCTACATAGATATAATCCAAGAAGATTGTAATATTTAATATCATCAAAGGTTCCTCACTTGCCACTTTGCTTGCTGTAGCTCCTAAGCTGAATGATCTTCACATGAGAAATTGCAGTATCTCAGGTGCTGTAATGGATGATATGGTTAAAGAGTGTTTTAGTAGGGGAGTTGTGTTGGAATTAACCTGACTTAATATCAGTCACAATAACCTCAATGACATCAAAGGTTCCTCACTTGCCACTTTGCTTGCTGTAGCTCCTAAGCTGGATGATCTTCACATGAGAAATTGCAGTATCTCAGGTGCTGTAATGGATGATATGGTTAAACGGTTCCTCACTTGCCACTTTGTGGAAACCATATAAGTAATAATAATAAAAATATGATTTACCAGGGGACAGTGAAATTACAAGTGCTCAAGTTGCTAGATATCAAATCAAATCTTTGTTTATTCTGGAAGTACTCTTTCAATACATAAGTACTGGTCTCCCAAGAGGTCCAGACACAACATAAAATAAATAACAAATAAATATATAAAAATCAAGAAAGGAGGTAACTAAATACAATTCTTAAATGTTCTTAAATTAAGGGTGTCAAATTTACAGCGGATATCTAATGGGAACTCATTCCATAATTTACATGCCCTGTAAAGGTAAGTTCTTTTTCCTTGCATATTGTTCCAGATTGGGATGATTAGAGTATTTGAAGATTGATTTCGTGTATTTTTGGAATGGACAGCATTAGTAAATTTAAATTTAGAAGAAATGTATTCAGGAGTTATACATTTTAGGGATTTAAATGTCATAATTAAAATATGATTATCCCATTTATCTTTAATCATTTTCCAATCCATTGTATCCATCAAAACCTTTACTGGAATCATAATGTCATCATGCAACACCACTCTAGCAAGCATATTCTGAAGAACTTGTATAGAGTTAGATTTAACACCATTACAGTTTGACCAAATAATGCTACAATAATCAAAAAGTGGCATAACACGAGTATTGGCAAGCAACTTAATAGTTTTAAGAGGAAGAAAGTATCTAATTCTTCGAATTACACCAATACGTTGAGAGGCACGTGAGTACACCTGTTCAATCTGTTTGTCCCAAGATAAGCTTGGATCAAAGTAAACCCCAAGGTACTTAAAACAATACACACGTTTAATATCTTCATCATTAAATTTAAGTGAAATATTTACATAATTATTTAATGTTAATTTAGTACCAAAAATCATAAACCATATTACAATCTTATCTAAATTGGATTTAAGTTCAGATTGGAGGCTCAGGGGATTAGAAGATGAACATAAAAGTGTAGTATCATCAGCATACATGATACATTTACTTACTATACTATCAGGTAAAGAGTTGACATATAAAATAAACAGTAATGGCCCAAGTATGGAGCCTTGAGGAACTCCAACCTCTATATTTTGGTGATCTGATAAAGATCTAATATTAGTAACTTGAGACCTGTTTGAAAGGTAAGAAACAAACCAATCCAAAGCGCCATTCTTTATACCAAAACTTTTCAATTTGTTAATAAGAAGCTCATGATTCACAGTATCAAAAGCCTTTTTCAGGTCTAAAAAAATTGCTCCTGTCACTTTACCCTCATTCATGTTATTGAGGATGAAGTCAGAAACATCGATTAGAGCAGTACTTGTAGAGTAGTGACTTCTGAAGCCTGATTGGGCAGGGCTTAACATATTTGATTTAGATAAATATGAATACAATTGATTGTGGACTGCTCTTTCAATTATTTTTGACACTATCGGTAAAACAAATATCGGTCGGTAATTACTAACATCGGATTTATCTCCATCTTTATAAATAGGCGTAACTTTTGCTTTTTTCCATTCAGATGGGAATGTGGAGGATGATAAAGATAAATTACAGATAAAAGCAAGTGAGGTACAAATAATTGGAGCAGAAAGCTTAAGTAGTTTAATATGGATTCCATCTAAACCAGAAGATTTATTGGTTGCAAAGTTACAAATTTGATCAAAAACAAATTCAGGAGTAATAACTTCAAATTGAAATTCACACTCACATTGAGTATTTTTAGTAAGAGTGTTAGTAACATTAGTGTTTTCATTATTATTAAACTTATCAGCTAGTTGGCTACCAACAGAGGCAAAATAATAATTAAATTCATTGGCAGTATCTTTATCACTATTAGTTTGGCCATTTTCTGAATTTACAAATTTAATTGGAGGCTTGCTTTTAGGAATCAATTTCTTTATTGTGTTCCATAATTGCTTAGAATTATTAGTATTTTTATTGATAGCATTATTGCAGAAGTTCATTTTAAGAGATCTGTTAAGACTGTTCGCTTTATTTCTTAATTTTTTGGCTTTTTCCCAATCTTGCTGATCATTAGTCTTATGTGCCTTGGAAAAGAAGTAATTCCTATCTTTGGTCAATTGTATGTATTCGCTGTTAATCCATTCAGGAAGTGAACTCCTAATTCTTTTAGTTTTTATAGGAGCATGTTCATCACACACTTTAGTAAACAATATTTTCCAAGTGTCCCATGCTTTATCGATCGTGTTACAGTTTAAGACTTTGTTCCATTCTTGGTGTTTCATAGAATCAATAAAATCGTTCTCATTAAAATTTTTAAAAGAATTAAACTTAATTATTTTAGGTGGATCTTTTTTAAAAAATTTTTTGCATTTACGAATTAAGTAAATTAAGGAGTGGTCGCTAATGCCAAGACTGCACACTCCAGAGGATGAGACTTTATTTAAATTAGAGACAAAAATTAGATTGTAGCAGTAAGTTATTCGTGTGTAGTCCTTAATTAATTGATTGAGATTACTATGGTTCGAAAGGGTTTTTATTTTTTTCATGTTATCTTTTTTACCAATACCAAGATTAAAATCCCCAAGAATGATTATATCATCATACAGAGAAGTAAATGATTGGAATAAAGAATCCATTTTATCTACATAATCTGCTCTTGCACTAGGGGGTCTATAAATAGTGCCAACAAGAAATGGCTTGGAAACATGGAAACATGAAAAAAAAAATATATGATATGGAAACATGATAAAAAATATGATATGGAAACATGAAAAAAAAAAAAACGGGAACCAGAAAG